ACCTTCAAAGAACTAACACCAATACTCTTTGAATTATTCCATGAAACAGAAAAACATGGGAACACTTCCAAACTCATTCTCTGAGGCCAATATCACTGATTCCAAAACCAGATAAAGACACATCAAAGAAAGAAAACTTCAGACCCATATCTCTAATGAAGATAGATGCAAAAATTCTCAATAAAATTCTGGTAAATCGTACACAAAAACACATTAAAAGGATAGTGCACCATGATCAAGTGGGGTCTATCCCAGGGATGCAAGGTTGGTTCAACATACAGAAATCAATAAGTGTCATTCATCACATCAATAGACTTAAAGATAAGAACCATATGATCACCTCAATAGATGCAGAGAAAGCATTCGACAAAATACAGCACCCCTTCAGTTCAAAGCACTAGAAAAACTAGGGATAACAGGAACATATCTCAACATTGTAAAAGCTATTCATGCTAAGCTCCAGGCCAACATCATTCTAAATGGAGAAAAATTGGAACATTCCCTCTAAAAACTGGAATAAGGCAGGGATGCCCTCTTTCACCACTTCTAGTTATTGTAGTTCTTGAAACACTGGCCAAAGCAATTACACAGGTGAAAGAAATTAAAGGGATATGGATAGGAAAAGAAGAACTCAAGCTATCATTGTTTGCCAACGACATGATTCTATACTTAGAGGATGCAAAAAAATTCCATCAGGAAACTTCTAGAACCAATAAATGAATTCAGCAAAGCAACAAGATATAAAATCAACACCCATAAGTCAAAGGCATTTCTGTACATCAATGACAAATCCTCTGAAAGAGAAACTAGGAAAACCACCCCATTTACAATACCTCAGGAAAAAAATAGAGTACTTGGGAATCAACGAAAGAGGGGAAAGACCTCTGCAATGAAATCTACAGAATGCTAAAGAAAGAAATTAAAGCAGTCTTTTCTATCTTCTAGATGGAAAGATCTCCTTGTACTTGGATAGGCAGAATAAATATTGTCAAAATGACCATACTACCAAAAGCACTAAACAGATTTAATGCAATTCCAATCAAAATCCCAATGACATTCCTCATAGAAATAGAAAAAGCAATCATGAAATTCATCTGGAAAAATAAGAGACCCAGAATAGCCAAAGCAATCCTTAGCAGAAGACTGAAGCAGGTGGCATCACAATGCTAGACCTTAAACTATACTACAGAGCAATAGTAACAAAAATGGCATGGGCTGGGTGCAGTGGTGCACGTCTGTAATCCCAGTGGCTCGGGAGGCTGAGACAGGAGAATTGAGAGTTCAAAGCCAGCCTCAGTAATGGTGAGGCCCTAAGCAACTCAGTGAGACCCTGTCTCTAAAGAAAATACAAAATAGGGCTGGGGATGTGGCTCAGTGGTTGAATACCCCTGAGTTTAATCCCCAGTACCATAAATAAATAAATGTATTGTGTCCACCTACAACCAAAAGTAATAATGATCATAATTTAATAATAATAATAATAAATATTTTTAAAGGCACCAAAATAGACTTGTAGACCAATGCTACAGAATAGAGGACACAGAGACAAACCCACATAAATACAGTTCTCTCATACTAGACAAAAGTGCCAGAACATATATTGGAGAGAAGATAGTTTATTCAACAATGGTGCTAGGAAAACTGGAAGTCCATATGCAGCAAAGTGAAATTAAGCCACTGTCTGTCACGATGCACAAAACTCGACTCAAAGTGCTTCAAGGACCTAGGAATTAGACCAGAGACCCTGTGCCTATTGGAAGAAAAAGTAGACCCAAATCTCCATCATGTCAGATCAGGCCCTGAGTTTCTTAATAAGACTCCTATAGTGCCAGAAATAAAATCAAGAATCAGTAAATGGGATGGATTCTTAGCAAAAGAAACAATCTGTGAGGTGAAGAGAGAGCCTACATCCTGGGAGCATATCTTTACCACAGGCACATCAGATAGAGCACTAATCTCTAGGGTATATAAAGAACTCAAAAAACTAAACTCCAAAAAGACAAATGACCCAATCGATAAATGGGCCAAGGAACTGAACAGACACCTCTTAGAAGGTGACATACAATCAATCAACAAATATATGAAGAAATGTTCATCATCTCTAGCAAACTAGTTCTAGAGAACTGCAAATCAAAACCACTCTAAGGTTTCATCTCGCTCCAGTCAGAATGGCAGCTGTTAAGAATACAAACAACAGCAAGTGTTGGCGAGGATGTGGGGAAAAGGCACACTCATACATTGCTGATGGGACTGCAAATGGGTGCAGCCAATATGGAAAGCAGTATGGAGATTCCTTGGAAAACTGGGAATGGAACCACCTTTTGACCCAGCTATCCCACTCCTTGGTCTATAAACAAAGGACTTAAAACCAGCCTACTACAGGGACACAGCCACATCCATGTTTATAGCAGCACAATTCACAACAACTAAACTGTGGGACCAACACAGATGCCCTTCAGTAGATGAATGGATAAAGAAACTGTGGCATAGATACCCAATGGAATATTAAAAGAGAATAAAATCATGGCATTTGCATGGAGTTGGAGAATATGATGCTAAGTGAAGTTAGCCAATCCCCAAAAACCAATGACCAAATGTTTTCTCTGATATGTGGATGGTGATCACAATGGGGATGGGGGAGCATGGGAGGAATGGAGGGACTTTGGATAGGACAAAGGTGAGGGAGGGGAAGGGAGGGGCAGGGGGTAGGAAAGACGGTGGAATAAGATGGACATCACTACCCCAGGTACAGGTATGAAGCCTGAATGGTGTGACTCTACTTTGTGAACAACCAGAGACATGAAAACTGTGCTCTGTATGAGCACCGTGAATTGACATGCATTCTCTGTCACGTATAACAATGTAGAATAAACAAACAAACTTTTTAAAAAGAAGGTATAAAGACAACCCACAGAATGGGAGAAAATATTGTGAACTGTATCTTACACAGAGCTGGAGGCCATAATATATAGAACAAATGTTATCTTAACAAGAAAAAGGCAAATAGCAAGCCAATGGGCAGAGGGTTTGATGGATAGACGCATCTCCATGGAGATATGCAAATGACCACTAAGCGCCAGAGAAAGCGGTGCCACACGGTTGCCAGGAGGGAACCAGGCGGGAGCTTCAGGGGCTGCCTCAGCCCGGGCGGGCGGCAGGGGCGGGCTCTGTGGAGAGACTGGAACCCGACATTGCTGGTGGGACGAGGTGGGGCAGCACTTTGGAGCAGTTAAGCACAGATCCTGTGAGGCCCGCGACCCCTCCTGGGTGCCCGGGAGACCTGTGCATGGATCTTGAGCCCCTCATCCCAAACCACCAACAGGCAAAAGCAGCCCACTGTTCACACCGCGATTCACCAACCACTGTTCACCACCGGTGGTGAAAACACCTGCGTATCCAGACCTTGGAGATACACGGCCAGGAAAGAGAGCCCAGGGGCAAACGGCCACACGTGTGTGTTTTTACTTGTTTTGACGGGGGCCTCCCTCCATTGCCTAGGCTGGACTCCAACTCCCGGGCTCAAGGGATCCTCCTGCCTCAGCCTCCCTGGAGCTGGGACCACAAGTGCCCAGCCCCCGGGCCCAGCTTGTGTGACTAAGAAACGTCTGGAACAGGCAGATCCAGAGACAGAAAGTGGATCCGAACGTGGCAGGGGCTAGGGGGGGCGGGGGACAGGGAGTGATGGCTAAAGGACACGGGGCCCTTTTCGAGGTGACGAAAACGCTCTGGAATTAGATGACGTGATGGTGACCTAGGCCTGTGAACACACCTCGGGCACCTGGGCTGGACAGCCCTGGGCCACTGTCAGTCTTCACCCAGCCACTGAGCACTGCAGTGCTTGGCCCAGGACGCAGGGGTGTGTGTCACACGAGTGTCACACGAGTGTCACGGGAGCGCGCCTCCAGTCTGTGGAGCTACCGGGAGGGCGTCCTGGAGGAGGGGAAGGACTGGGAGCGGGCAGAGCCCTGGGCAGCAGGGTCCCCCAGGGACAGCTGGCCAGGGCTTCACCTCCAGGTGCAGGAAAGGAACAGGACAGAGGCTGTCGTCGCTGGGCCTCCCAAAGCCAGAGGCGCCACAGCTGCCTCCGCCCCTCGGGAGAGCCCTGCTCCCTCCACGCCCGCAAGCCCCGCTGCCCTGGCCAGGCCTCCAGGACCTCCGTCCCTCACAGTGGAAGCCGCGTGTCCCCGGGGCGAAGCTTCCTGTGCGCTTTTGAACTTAACTCTGCAGATTAACGTTGGTGAATAGGATCTGGTTATGAATTTTAATGACTTCCATTCATTCCCAGTCCAAACAAATTACATATCTGCTGCTTTATTTAATATGTTTATTGCCATTTTATTACACTCATTGGCAACCAAACAGCATAAAATATTAATTTAAAGAGGCAGTCGTGTGGATTCTCTCTCCAAGTGGAGCGTGGGACGGCTCTCGGAGTCGCCCAGTGTCACTCCCCGGTCCCTGAAGACACAACCAACTGAGTTCTGGGAACCGAACCCGGGCCTCTGCCTCGGAGCTGCACCCGGCTTTGCTTGTTCATGAGCTGGTTTTAACAGTCCCCACTGGCCCTGGGGTCAGAGAGGGCACAGCAAGGTGGCAGCTAGAGCACAGCCCTGCTGTGACGCCTCCACGCCGACCCATTCTCAGAATGCAGGACAGAAGGCCACTGTCCCCCCACCCCTCCCCACCCACAGCCTCCAGGAGCTGAGAGGTCCCTAGGGGACCCCGTGACCCAGGACAATACCCCGCCCCAAGGTCCTTAACCTATCTCATCTGCAAACTCCCTCTCCCCGTCAGGGGACAGCTGCTTCAGGCCAAGGGAAGAGGGCAGGTGCTCAGGGCCAGATCCGTCCCGCCTGGCCCCAGAGCCCTGGAGGGCGGGACAGCAAGCCCCCTACTCGCCAAGCCCACCGTGGGCCCAGGAGCATCAGAGCTTCAGGTACCGGCCAGATCCCACGCAAGTTTCTAACACGCAAGATGGACGCGAGGAAAAGGACACTCACTGCGCTCTGGTGTGGCCATCCTGTAGCTGACCCGACCTTCCCAGAGCTGTGGGATGAGCAGCCTCGTCTTCCACGGCCAGAGCAGGCGTATGGGCTGGGGGGGGGGGGCAAGCTCATGACCCGGCTGGCTCAGCACCGCAGCTGCTGGGATGGGGCTGGAACAGGGAGGCCCTGCTGGCAGCCAGGACGCCAGGGCAGAAGGGCTTCCCGGAGGAGGCGCCACTGAGACAGACGTAAAAGATGAAGTTGGGGACAGCAGGGAAGGGGGGTGGGGCACAGAATGGCTCTCGGAGTCCCTGAAGGTTACAGATGGTAAGGCCCGCGCAGCAGCGCTCGCCTGTGATCCCAGCAGCCTGGGAGGCTGAGGCAGGAGGATTGCAAGGTCAAAGCAGCCTCAGCAACTTAGCGAGGCCCTGAGCAACTCAGCGAGACCCCATCTCTCAATAAAATACAAAAGAGGGCTGGGCTGTGCTCAGTGGTAACCACCCTGGGTTCCATCCCGGTGCCAAGGAAAGGACCCCAGCGTGCTCAGGCTGTTCATTTCAGAAACACGAAGTTTGCTGCGAGGAGGGGCGAGTTCAAGTCATGGCTAATAAGGTCTTGGTCAGGAGGAGAGGCCGTGCTGAGGGGACAATTGGGGACCTTGGCAGTCTAGTCCATCAGCTTATTTCTCGCTCCTGCCCTGTGTGGCGCAGGTGGGCAGGGTGCCCGGGGGGTGCAGGGAGAAGTGGGGGCACCAGCTCTTACTACTCCTTCCTGAGGGCCCCCAAGTCTGCTGTGATGTCATTGGCCAAAGCCAGTCACATGAGCAAGGTCCGGCACGGCCTGGAGGGCAGGGAGCCAGAACCTCCCGGTGCACTGGGTGGCCCCCAGGTCCCTGGTGCTCTGCCCGCCGCTGGGTCCCACACGCGGGCACAGACACAGGAGCCGGGAGCACGGGCCTCCGTGGTGGCCTCGGGCTGCGCTGGCCCTGCAGGGTTGGGCTCAGCCACCGGAGACAGGGGTCCAGGACGGTCCCTGGTCCCAGAGCCTCCAGGGCCGGGGAGGTGGACATGGGCTCACTTACTATTGCAGACTCACGCCGAACTGCTGGGTGGGCAGAGGTGGCCGGGGCGGTGGCTTCTTGGTATCAGGAGGCGGCAGCCCCCTGTGCAGGTCACGGAGCTTCTCGTCATACCTTGGAACACAAAAGAGGCAAGTCACACATCGCAGGGGACAGCCCATGGCTGCGGGAGTCCACTTCCAGGTGCTGGGTGGGACCCGGTCGGGTGACATGCCTCGGGTCATCACTGGGCACAGCGCAGATCAGGACTACAAACCCCTGTCCTGCCCTCAGACCAGGGTCTCCAACTCTGGAGCTCAGAGCACACACTGCGGACGGGGTAAATCCCAGATCCACAGCCCTGCCTGGAAGGCAGGATTCGTGTGTCCTCTGGGTCCTTCTGCAGGGTCCCTGGACCACTTCGGGGGCCCTGGCTGCCCAGAGCCTGACTCACACCCTCCCAAGCCCCATCTCCCGAGGACCCACGGGACCTGCCTTTGTTGCTACTGGCCGCCTGCATGGTCCTGGACACCCCAGACCACAAGGTGGGCCCCAGAGCTGCAGCTGGGACGCTGGTCTCCCCCACAAAACTGCTCCAATGGGAACCCCTGGGAGCCAACCCCAGTGACCCTAGTGCAGCCTGGGTAGGGTCTTGCCCAAGCCCACAGTCAACCATGGTCCCCATGGCCTCAGGGTCCAGTCATGGTCCTCTGAGGACCCTTTTGCTCCAGCCCCAGCTCCAGCCCCAGCCCCCCAGCCCCCAGCCCCCTAGTCCCCCAGTCCCAGCCCCCAGTGGTGCCCAGCCCCCAGCCCCCAGCCCGGCGGGCACTCACCGCAGCACCTCTTGGGGGATGGGCAGCTGGTCACACTGGAGGTGCTCCCGGAGCTCTCTCAGGGAGCTGCAATAGGTGACCTTTTTCCCAAACTTGTGACTAGGAAAGCAGAAGACAGCAGGGGTCAGGCGGCAGGGAGAGGCCCTGCAGGGCCTGGGGTGGGCAGGTGGCAGCTCCTGGAGATGGGACGTCTGAGGCTGTCCCTCCTGAGGCCTGCCATGCTCCCAGTGCCCATCCCCATGCCCATCAATAAAATGTGCCCAACTTGAATCCACCCTGAGTCTGCACAGACGGAGGAGACCGGGGAGCTCTGCAGGCTTGGCGCACGATCCCAGGGCGCTGGGATCCAGGGTGCTGGGCCTGGGTGGCGGACGGCTTTGCATTTGACACCTCGCCACTGAGAGTGTCCCCAAGGGCAGGGGCCGAATAGCAGTCTCCAGGCTTGTCCCTGGGGACACCAGGACACCAGCGCAGCCAAGAGTGTCCCCAAGGGCAGGGACCAAATGGCAGTCTCCAGGTTTGTCCCTGGGGACACCAGGACACCAGCGCAGCCATAAAGCCGGAGGAGCCCTGGCTACATCCAGCAACCCCCGTCCTGTCCCTCATCTGGGACGACTCGCTCCTCCTCTGGGGGCCCCGCCCCGTGAGACAGAATGAGGTGATTTGCACAAACTCATCCATCGCCAGGCACCTGGGCGACGCCCGGTCCCCGTGAGGATCATATTAATGAAGCTCAGGCTGGTTTTCTCTTGTACTTTTGGAGCAGTGGCTCCCCTATGTGCGTATTCCAGAGGCACAACTATGGATGTGGGGGCGGAATCGCAGTTACCAGGAAGGGAGTTACGGAGTCAGCAAAACCAAATTTGTTACTATTACGACAATTTGCAAGCCGTGAAATAAGTATTCATGCGTTCTCAGTGCGGTATACATTGTGGGATTAAAATAATCCAATTTCACCACTGCCAAAACAACCAGAAAATGGGGGATCGCGGCAGGAAATTACATAAGAGAAGGAGTGAACCACTTGACCCAGCACCACTGCCTGGGCTGGTGGCCTGAGCCTGTCCCACCTGCAGGGGACCAGAGGGAGGCCCATTTGTGTGCACGTGCTCCCCCTAGTGGAGGAGGGAGAAGCAGCGCTGGGTGCCTGGCCCCTGGTGGGTTTTACAGGGTGACTTGGCGGGACCCTGAACTCAAGGTTGCTGTTCTGCTGGAGGCTGGGGACCCGGACTGAAGGCCAGGTGGCTGAAGAGCCACCAAGTGCTGGGAGTAATGCACACAAAGGACAGGGCTTCTCTGGGTTCCAGCACTAGGGGTGGAGGGTCCCACAGAGTGTCCTTGCCACCTGCCCACTCAAGACTCCACAGGACTCAGGGACAGTCTGGCCCCTGCTGGAGACCATAGTTCTCCTGCCAGATTCATACATCTTCAAATGACTACAGGGCTCAGAGAGGTCATATTACTGCCCAGTGACACACAGCCAACAGGCAGCATAACCCAGTCCTGGCTCCAGGGCCCCCAACCCTGATTCCTGAGGCAGGATGAGGGGTGGAAGGACCCAGGCTAGACTTGGAATCCCAGCCCCCGCCCATACTGTGTGACCTAGAGCAGGCTGCTCAACCTCTCTGAGCATCAACCTTCTCTTGTTTGAAATAGGGAAAATATGGTTAACTTCAGAGGATGTCTGGGGGCGCCTGGCACATAAGGTGCAGTAGATGTTGTAATTAAATCAAAGAAAAAAGGATAATTAAAAGATTAAACAATATTAGCCCTAACAATGAACATTTGCTAGGGCCCAGCAAGTCCTATTCCAAAGGTTCCCCAGGTCATTGTTGTAACATGGAGTGATTTAAGTGGTGTTTCTGCCACATGGGGAAGCCCAGGCAGAGCGGCTGCATCTCTCATCCAGAGCAGTGGGTGGCCAGCAGGACAGAGGTGACCCAGGAAATGTGGCTCCAGAACCATCCCAGGCCACGGTGGCCAACCTCAGGCACAGGGGACCTTGCCGTGTCCCCTGAAGACCTTCGAGGTCTCTAGAACCTTTGGGCTTCCTAAGGCGAGTGGCAGCACCTGGAGTTGGAACGTCTGAAGCTGACCCTGGACCGCAGGGTGACCAGCACTGGCTTTCTCGCTGTTAAATCTGTCAGGGGCCCCCTGGGCACTGCTCCTGGCCCATCACAAACCCACAGGGACCTCACTTCCAGCAGGTGACCAGGTGGGAAGGCCTGGGACCAGGAGGCCAGCCAAGTCAGCTCTGGCCTTGAAACCTCCTCCGCCACGTGGCTCCAGGCAGTGGGCGCCTGATGCAGGTGCCAAGCTGGGGGGCGAGGAGATGCCGCTGGGGCCTGGCAGAGCCCCGAGCCTGGCCACCCACACTGAGAGCGTCAGGTGGGAAAGAGTCCAGACTCCGGGGACGAGGTCGGCTGAGGCCTCAGGTCCAGTTCTTCATGCCGTTGGCTCCGGCTGCCGGCAGGAGGGGCTGACCACAGGCCGAGTGTCCAAACCTGTCTGCTCCAGAGCAGGGAGTGGCCCTTGCCCTGCTCCTGGGGTGGCCTCTGAGCTTTTGGAACATCTGATAAGAAGGTCTTTGCATCTGCAACCTGAGGACACCAGGTGGTGGACACCAGCCATTTGCTCTGGGCAGGGCTTGGGCTGTCTACATCTGACCTCACAGGAACTGAGTCACTGAGTCGGCCAGGTGGTCACTCCATGGTTACGGGACCAACCCCAAGAAACCCCCTGGGCCCTGAGGATTGGCCATGCTTCACTAGTGAGCAGCACCCGCTCCCCGTGCCACATGTCACACCCGAAGTCATGCACTGTCTGCAGCGTGCCGCTGTGGAGGGGAGCGGGGGCTGGCGCTGTCCCTCAGCCGACTCTGAGCCTAGCCAGGCTTCCTCTGCGCTGGGCCACACAGAAAGAAAGACAGCTTCTCTGTGTCCACGGCCCTCGGGTCAACGACTGAACTTGGGTGTGGTCTTGGGGACCCCAATGCAGCTGCGCCGTGTGGGTGCTCGGGTCGGGGGTGGGGGGGTAAAATCCAGGCTCTCGCCTCAGGCACCCGGGGCCAGCGCCCCTGTCCACGGCCCTCAGAGGGTCGTGCACATGCCCTGGGCCATGCTGCGACTCAGCATAGACCCCTTGGGCTGGCAGGGGGCCCAGACCCATGGCCAGCCTAGAGGCGGGACCTGCGGTGAAGGTGACCCCCCTGTCCTTGCCAAGAGTGACACCCACCTGATGAGCGGCTTGAAGAGTTTCCAGAGGACCTTGATGAAGCTGGTGGGGTGCACCACGTAGAGCGCCTTCAGGTTCTTCTTGTACCTGGGGAGGGGACCAGGGGGCCCTTGGGCTGCGGCTCAGAGTCCTCCCAGCTGAAGCAGGGGCAGAGCCACAGCCGGGGTCTCGGGCCTCCCCCCCAACATTTAAGAATGCTGAGCCAGAAACGGGGGTTCACTCTCGGGGGATCAGGACCCCCGTCCGCCCCACAGGCACGCTTGCAAGGTGAGGTCACTCTGCAGGCGCTGCCCTGCAGGGTGGCCGGGGCCTGGAGCATGGCCCTGAGGGCGACTTGGGAACAGCTCTCAAAATCAGACTTGCACGGCCCCCCTGGCCCTCACTCCCCCACGCTCCCCCACAGTGAGAGGCCGACCCCTTGGGTCACGGTGCGGTCACCATGGCGGGGACAACAGTGGGCATCTGGGTCTGGGTGAGCAGCAGGGTGTTCACGGCCTGCCTAAGACACGCCCAGGGATGGTGTCAAAGCCCACACCCCAGGGTCGCCAAGCTCACAGGTTGCCCCACGCCATTCCTGCCTGGAGTGACCTCTGGGTCCTCGGCCAGGCCCAGGTCTACCACCCGCCCTCGGGGGCAGCGGGGAGCTCTCAGGCCAGAAGCCGGCAGGAAAGCCAGGGTGGGCGGAGGGAGGCTGGAAGCCCCCAGCGCCTGACCTGACCGACGGGGCTGGAGCGCCCTCTGCACAGCTCGGCGACAGGGACTCACCACTGAACACGGCCCTGACAGTGCTGACCAGCTTTCTGCTTGTGCGGAGCCTGGTCTGAGCCCCAGCCCGTCCACCTTCCCGAGCAGAAGCCCACAGGCCAGCGGCTTCCATCTGACACAGTGAACTTGACCAGGGCCTTCCGCCTGGCCCTGGCCCCGACCCTGGCCCGAAATGGCTGACCAGGATCAGCACTTCTCCCCAGCCAGACGTGCCACCTATCAGTGGCCTTTGTGTGAGTGTGGACGGTCCCCCGTGCTGGGCGGGCAGCCTCCACCTGGATCTGGTGGCGTGACCTTTTGCTTTGAATTGTTCCTGGTCACAGCCCGCAGCACAGAGCCAGCTGCTGGGCACCGACACGTGACCTAACTACCCAGGGCTGTGCCGCCTCCTCAGGTGGAAGCTGTCCACTTCCAAAGCCAGACCCAGCAGCCGCCCATCCACTCTACGCCGTGACCCGCCGCACTCAGCCCACACGGTGGCTGCTCAGTGCCCGAGCTGGCACGCACTTCCTGTCAAACTCCTTGTAGGCGCTCTGCAACCAGCCCAGGGACGGCTTGTTCCCGCCGTGGAGGCCGTGGTGGAAGTAGACGAGGCTGTAATCGTTCTCCACGTACTGGTCCAGCGTGAACTTCAGGTACCTGGACAACATACAAGACATGGACGTGAGGGCCTCCTCCCTCCTCCGTGTGGAGGGCACGTCGGCTTCTCTGGCCACCCAGCAGAGCCGGCACCGGGCCACACAGGGTCACATCCAGAGCCACCGGAGACCCCACATGCCAGGGCCCAGCCCTCAACTGCTCGATGATGCTCAGAGACGTTAAGCCACTTGCCAGGTCACACAGCTGATAGGTGGACATGGTAGGCCAAAGCATGACCCCCCCAAACACATCCCCGTCACATCCCCAGAACCCGGGACGTGACTCATCTGGAAGAAAGGTCTTTGCAGATGTGGCTGAGTCAAGGGTCTCGTGAGGAGGAGCTCGTCCTGGATTAGCTGGGCGAACTCTAGATGCCGTCACACACACTTAACAGAGGGACACGAAGGGTGGCTCAGCGGGGAGAAGGCCCCGTGGAGAGGGTGAGGGACCAGGCCAGGGAGGACTTGCCCACAGCCCGGAAGCAGAAGAGGCGAGGGACAGTCACGGGCTGCAGGGGGACTGGGGGAGTAGGTCCCCAGAGCCCCGACTGCACCTGGACCAGGACCCTGGGAGAGCACCGCTCTGTCTTATGCCACCGGGTTTGGGGTCATTGTCAGAGCAGCCACAGAGGATGGGCTGAGATTCCAGCCGGGGCTGCCCGGCTCCCCAGCCCTCCCCAGCGCCAGCACCGCCATGCTGCTGGGCCGCCGAAGCGCCGTCCTCCCCAGAGGAGCCTCCCAGCATCTGTCCTCTGTCACTGGCCAGACCTCCCTCCCATCACGTCAGGGCTGCACGGCCCTCGATCTGCCCGCTGCAGCTGGAGAACACTGTCCTCGGGCCACCGTGGAAAGGCCTCATCCTGCCATCTGCGAGGGACCTCGCTTCACCCACATCACTTTGGCAGCTGGCCCTGACGCCAAATTCACGGGGTCACCAAGCTCATGGGGTCGCCAAGCCCACAGAGTCACCAAGCCCACAGAGTCACCAAGCCCACAATGTCACCAAATCCACAGAGTCACCAAGCCCACAATGTCACCAAGCCCACAGTGTCACCAAGCCCACAGAGTCACCAAGCCCACAGTGTCACCAAGCCCACAGTGTCACCAAGCCCACAGAGTCACCAAGCCCACAGTGTCACCAAGCCCACAGAGTCACCAAGCCCACAATGTCACCAAGCCCACAATGTCACCAAATCCACAGAGTCACCAAGCCCACAGAGTCACCAAGCCCACAGAGTCACCAAGCCCACAATGTCACCAAATCCAAAGAGTCACCAAGCCCACAGAGTCACCAAGCCCACAGAGTCACCAAGCCCACAGTGTCACCAAGCCCACAGAGTCACCAAGCCCACAGAGTCACCAAGCCCACAATGTCACCAAGCCCACAGAGTCACCAAGCCCACAGAGTCACCAAGCCCACAATGTCACCAAGCCCAAAGAGTCACCAAGCCCACAATGTCACCAAATCCACAGAGTCACCAAATCCACAGAGTCACCAAGCCCACAGAGTCACCAAGCCCACAATGTCACCAAATCCACAATGTCACCAAGCCCACAATGTCACCAAGCCCACAGAGTCACCAAGCCCACAATGTCACCAAGCCCACAATGTCACCAAGCCCACAGAGTCACCAAGCCCACAATGTCACCAAGCCCACAGTGTCACCAAGCCCACAGAGTCACCAAGCCCACAATGTCACCAAGCCCACAGAGTCACCAAGCCCACAGAGTCACCAAGCCCACAGAGTCACCAAGCCCACAATGTCACCAAATCCACAGTCACCAAGCCCACAATGTAACCAAGCCCACAGTCACCAAGCCCACAATGTCACCAAGCCCACAGAGTCACCAAGCCCACAATGTCACCAAGCCCACAGTGTCACCAAGCCCACAATGTCACCAAATCCACAGAGTCACCAAGCCCACAGAGTCACCAAGCCCACAGTGTTGTCAAGCCCACAGAGTCACCAAGCCCACAGAGTCACCAAGCCCACAATGTCACCAAGCCCACAGAGTCACCAAGCCCACAGAGTCACCAAGCCCACAGTGTTGTCAAGCCCACAGAGTCACCAAGCCCACAGAGTCACCAAGCCCACAATGTCACCAAGCCCACAATGTCACCAAGCCCACAGAGTCACCAAGCCCACAATGTCACCAAGCCCACAATGTCACCAAGCCCACAGAGTCACCAAGCCCACAGAGTCACCAAGCCCACAGAGTCACCAAGGCCACAATGTCACCAAGCCCACAGAGTCACCAAGCCCACAGAGTCGTCAAGCCCACAGAGTCACCAAGCCCACAGAGTCACCAAGCCCACAATGTCACCAAGCCCACAGAGTCACCAAGCCCACAGTGTCACCAAGCCCACAGAGTCACCAAGCCCATAGAGTCACCAAGCCCACAGTGTCGTCAAGCCCACAGTGTCACCAAGCCCACAGAGTCACCAAGCCCACAATGTCACCAAGCCTACAGTGTCACCAAGCCCACAGAGTCACCAAGCCCACAGTGTTGTCAAGCCCACAGTGTTGCCAAGTTCACAGGGTCTCCAAGCCCACAGAGTCACCAAGCCCACAATGTCACCAAGCCCACAGAGTCACCAAGCCCACAATGTCACCAAGCCCACAGAGTCATCAAGCCCACAGATGTCACCAAATCCACAGAGTCACCAAGCCCACAGTGTCACCAAGCCCACAGAGTCACCAAGCCCACAGAGTCACCAAGCCCACAATGTCACCAAATCCACAGAGTCACCAAGCCCACAGAGTCACCAAGCCCACAATGTCACCAAGCCCACAGAGTCATCAAGCCCACAGAGTCATCAAGCCCACAATGTCACCAAGCCCACAGTGTCACCAAGCCCACAGAGTCACCAAGCCCACAGTGTCACCAAGCCCACAGTGTCACCCCACGTCATTCCTGCCTGGAGTGAACCCATCCGTGGCGCCCAGGGAAGGCAGCCCAGCTTCCGAGGCCGTGGGCAGTGCTGTGTGGACCCCAGGAGGACCCGCGGCTCTGCCCGTGTGCAGGTGCTCCACCGCCCTTCCTCGCCAGGACCCCGTGGAGCCCGAGCAGGTCAGCTCTTTGCTGAGTCCAAGCAGCCTCAGGCCCCTCCAGAGGAAGAACCATCCAAACGTACGTCTGCTCACTGATGCTCCCGATGGCCCTGTGGCCTGGACTACTGTCCCCATTTACACACAGGTCACCTGAGTCTCCTGGAGGTGCTCTGGCCAGGGGCTGTGCCAGGGGTCTCAACTGAGCAGGCTCAAGTCCACCCTGTCCTGCCCGAGAGCCACCTGCTGCCACCTGCGCCTGCTCCCACCCGTCTGCCCGGGTGAGATGGCGCAGCTCTGACCCCTGCTGGTCTGTGCTCACCAGGAGAGGAGGCCACTCACCCCCACCCTACTCCCCAGCGCCCTCAAGGAAGCCATGGCGGCATGAGCCACCCCAGGCCGAAGGACGGCACTTCTGTGTCCTGGACGCCTTCTCCAGGGAGGGGGAAGAGGGACCCACCATGAGCCCACTCCGGCCCCCCCTGGAGTGCCCGGTCCTCGGCCTGTGCCATCCTCCTCAGCTCCTCCTGCTCAGGAGCTCCTGGGGTCGGCGGCATCTGCCCGCGCTCAGCACAGGAAGTCACCAGCTAAGTCACAGATTGGGCTTCAACGACGCGGACTCCTTCACCGTCTCAAAATAGGAGCCTGCATCTGGCCGCAGGAAGCCCAGCGATGGAGGGAGGCCGCGTAGGGCCTGTCATGTCTCCATGAAGGCCGAGGAAGGACAAGCTCCGGGGCCCTTCCTGTGGACACCAACAAGCTCCGGGGCCTGTGTGTGAGCCCTTCCTCTGGGCGCGCTCTCCAGCATTGGCTGAGAGCACAGTGCGTGGCAGCCCCATTGGGTGCCCGTGGGCAGTGGACAACCTGCACAACTGTGCCTGGAGCTCACGCTCACTCCCATCCAGCCACAAAGGTGCCCTGGGTAGGCCCCCGAAGAGCCCGGTGTGCCAACTGGTTGCTGTCACAGGTGCTTTTTCCCAACTGAGGTGAAATTTGCATAAAATTAACCACTTTAACACGAGCACCCCAGAGACACCAGGTCCGTTCACCGCATGGTGCTGCCACCTGTATTCAGCTCCAGAACTGACTCATTGTCCCGGAAGGGACCCTGGACCTACTAAGATCGTCCTCTCCTCCTCCCCCCAGCCCTGGCCACCACCCCCGTGCTTCCTGTGTGTTGGGGACACCTTTGTCTTTGTAGAATGACCAACCCTGGCCCCATTCCAGCAGGAAGTGACCCCAGAGAGCGCTGCCCTGGGCACACTGGTCCCCTGCATCAAGGAGGCTAGTGTGACACGGGAATGTGCTTAATCAGAGGTCCCAGGAGGAGACGCCTGGGGACCTGGTGGCCCTCCTTGCCCATGGGCCCTGTGACACCAGGAGCTGGCTCACCCCTCCTGGTGCCCAGGAGGCCCCAGCCCACCTGCACCTGGCCATGCTGGCTCCTGAGGGCTTGCTCCCTGCAGGTCCTCAGACCCTCGGGCCACACTGGGCCTTGGGTCAGGGGTCTCCCCAGAACCAGCAGCCCAGAGTGCTCCAGGGGCTTCGAGACCAGCCGTGCGCTCATCTTGAGCTGGGGGCTCCGGCCACGGCCCTCCTCACTGGGCTGTCGTTGGGTGAGCCGGGCGACCTCACGGGAGGAGTGGGGTCTGGGGGTGGTGGCAGGCGTGGGCCCCCAAGTGGCCGTGCTCTGGGCCAGGCCAGGCAGGGAGCAGGCACAGTGGCCTCTGTTGTCACACAGGCACATGACACTCCGGAGATGGGCCAGGGTTGGCTGAGGGAGGGAGGGAACAGGTGCCCTCCTGGACCAGCTGTGGATCTGGTGCGCTTCTGGGTGTGTGGGCGAGCGGTGCAGGGCCCTCGGGCAGCCCCTCAGACGGCCACCCCTACCTCCTCCCTGTGTCCAGGCCACAGCCCCAGCCTTGCCCCCACACAGACCACAGGGCGGCCCCCAGTGGGGTCGGCACGGTAAGCACGTACCCCTGTACCCAGGTAGCAAACTCCGGGCACAGGGGACACGGGGGTGGGGCGCGGCCAGCCCAGGTTTAAACAGGGCCCAATTCCACCCAGAATGCACACGGCTCGCCTCGTGGGAAACTGGGTCTCCAGGAGAGGTCGTGTGGGACAAGGGTGGCCTAGGCCACTGGCTGGTGTCTTGAGGAGACCAAACAGACCCGGGAAGACGCAGGAGGCAGGGGTGGGAGGGATGTGGCGGGGGCAGGAGGACAGGGTGCTGCCCCGTTAGGCTGCAAGGTGCCGTACTTTGATGCGGCAGCCACGGGGCACGCACACAGCCCCAGGGAGATCCGTGCGCCTCGAAGGAGCAGGGTGGCCGTCTATGCCATCTCACCTGGAGGATCCCCTCCACATCCAGGACCCCGTCACAGGGAGGGCGCGGGCACTCGCCTGGCCAGGAGGAAGCCAACCAGCCCCCCACCGTGCAGATGGTGCTGGTGATGGCCACGGTGGCCCTGGTGACCAGATTGTCCCCAGATGGCCCTGGGGGAGGCTCAGGAAGATCAGAGCTCAGTGCCCACAAGTGCACAAAACAGAGGGAGGTGACGGGGGCAGGAGACGTGGGGAGGGTGGCGCGTGGGGCGGGGACGGAGTGCGGGGGGTGGGGGGGCACACTTACTCCAGCAGCCGCTGGTGGTCGAGCTCGTGCGAGGGGGGCATCCGGCAGCAGCTGAAGGTGACAATGAGTCTCCCGCAGCGGTCGTCCCCTGTGGGAACACACGCACGCGTCAGCCTCTGCCCAGCTTCCCGGGAAACCCCAGGCGCAGCCCTGAGCTCCCCTGCTTGTCACCGAGGGGGTCCTCCCGGCTGCCCGTGCGCTGGAAGACTGAGGCCCACTGCTCAGGTCCCCAGGGCCATGCCTCGCCGCTGGCTGGTGGCCCCTGGGATTTCAATCCAGACACATCGGCTGCTCTGCGCGTCCCTCCTCCCCACACCCCCACCCCAGGGCTTCCCTCCAGCTCCGGGCCCTGGAGGCAGCAGGTGGCCCAGAGTAGTCACCCTGGACAGGACCTTGCATCCAGGACAGGGCCCTCTCAGAAGTCCCGAGGTCAGCCCTGTCCAGCATGGCCTCTTGACACATCTGTGCCGGCTCCATGCAGGAGCCACACGGGTGCTCTTGAGAGCTGTGTCCCCTGAACCCAGACTCGGGGCGGGGCTCACAGCAGGTGCTTAGTGAGACCAAAACAGCCAGGATGAGGTCCCTGGGGCTTTGCCTGCCTCCACCTGGGGCAGAAGGTTGGACACACTCTGCAGCCGGACCCTCCTGCTGCAGCCCCCCCACCCACACCCGTGGCCAGGAGGAAGGGCCGAGCCCCACAGCCTTCCTCTCTCCACTCCCTGGTGCTGAGCGGGAGGATCCCCGGGGTTCAGCAAGGCTTGGAGGGGCCTAAGTGCTGGGGACAGCCCTGGCTTCAGGACCCCTGAGCCTCCTTGTCCCCCAGCCCTGGCTTGGGGACGAGGGGCGGATGGAGCAGGCTGCCTGGCTGCCACACCCATGGCTTCCCTCACAACCAAACACGAGACACAGGAAAGCACACTCGGGACACGCGCCAAGGCCACTGGGCAGCAGGGGAGGGACACCAAATCCTGGGACACCCTGAGGCAGACAGGTGGGGTACCAGGCCCCTCCTTTCCTGAAAGCGCCTCCTGTCACCTGGATGTCACCCCTCCTCCTGACCCCGCAGCCGGCCACAGACCTGCAGCACCCACCTGTCGTAGGTGAGGGAGCAGCAGAGGCCCCGGGGACAGGCGCAGAGGCCCTGGGGACAGGCGCGGAGGCCCCACCCAGCAGACAGTGCAGGGCTAAGGCCTCGGTCAGTCTGCTGGGGTGGGGTCGGAGAGCAAAGCCTGGCTTCCATGGGCATCCTGGGGCCCCAGGGGAATCTGGGACAGAAAGTGCCCAGAGCTGGCCACCCCAGTGTGCACGCTGTTCCCTCTCCTGTCCTCCCGGAGCCCCCGAGGACTGCGGCCACCAGGCACACGTGGTGTTGAAGTTTAACAACTTCCCCCTCCAGGAGGGGGGAGCCTGCAGCTCCTCAGTGGCACTGCCACATTCGCCCCCAGATGGTGAGACAGGACTGTCCTGCACATGCCCACCACATGCACAGTTGTACTGGGCAGTACTGCCCTTGGGAGTGGAGGTCAGGGTGGGGGAATGTGATAGCAGGAGCAAATGTGACTCCATTTTGTTTTGTGACTTCATCCTGTAAAACAACCAGGCCAAGTAGAAGAGTCATGACTGGAGCAAGATGTTCTTTTCCTTTTGCTATAGAAACCTTTAAGAACACGGAACTACCTAATGGGGCATTGTTTCTGTAACTAGGGTAACGGGGCTCTGTTTCTGTAACTGGGGTGCCTGGGATCACTGTGATTGCTTAGGCTTCCCTCCGCCTGACTGCACTGTCCCGCTTCTGTAACCTGGCTGGCTTGCATTGGCTGGACCCCCCAACATCCCTTTTGTGGTTTTCAGGCTTATAAGGAGCGCCCTTGCAATTGTTCGGGGCTGATCAGGGGAACAGCTGTATGTTCTGGTCAGCCGCCACCGGTGTGCTTCAATAAAGGCTTGATCCGATTATACGTGAGTGGTCTGGAAGTCAGTTTATGAAACCCTGGGACAAAGCTTTAACTATAACATCTGGGGGCTCGTCCGGGATCCATTTTTTCCCTACCCTCACGCCAAATTGGCCTCCAATGACGGGCCTTTGGACCTTGGCCCCGGAGTAGAGGGGAGCTCCTGAGAGACGTTCCTCAGCCTCACTCTGAGGACGACTCTAATCCGTCCTAGGACGCTCTGAAAAGCCTCCTGCCGGCTGTCAGTTCTGGTGAGTCGACTCTTCTCTGGGGGAAAAGGTCAGATTGGACCTTCCCCGGGACAGGACAGACGTTGTCACTGTCTCCCTGGAGGTCTCCCTGTGAGACCTCATCTGTCTGTATCTGGAGCCCACTGGAGGCCTCCCTGCGAGGCCTCATCTGTCTGGGGGCAGGACGAGACATGGTCTCTGCCCCATTAGAGGTCTCTCTGGGTGACCTCAGCGATTGTTGCTTGTCCTGTGTCTGTTCTGCTGTTGGTCATCTCTCCAGTGTCTTCTGCTGTTGGTCATTTGTCCAATGTCAGTTCGCCGGCCGTTTGTTCTGTTTGTGGGGTCTCTGCCCCACTAGAGGTCTCCCTGTGTGATCTCAGCGATTGTTGCTTGTCCTGTGTCTGTTCTGCTGTTTATCATTTCTCCAGCGTCTTCTTGCTGTTTGTCATTTGTCCCATGTCCGTTCGTCGGCCGTTTGTCTTGTGTTTGTCTGTCCATGTGTTGTGCGTGGGCCCTTTTCTTGTTCCCATAACCGCTCTTCTTTTCAGGACTCCTTCGCTCCACCGACATCAGAGACAAGGAAGCTCTACAGAGATCTCTACCTGGACCCCTTTAACTTGTTTTCTTAACAATTTTCAGGACTTTGTCTGTTGGTTGGTTTTTGTTTGTTCCCTTTGTGTTCTGTGTTAATTTCTACCTCAGTTTGTTTCTAATGGGAAAAAAATGGTCAGAATGGTTTTAACTGTGCTCACTACAGCTTGCATTAAAATGTAATGTGCTGCCAACAGGACTAAAAAAATTGTCAAAAGTAAAAGCTAAAGGTAAAAAAAAAAAAGACATTCTAGAGATTGCCTTCATTTAGGAGCTGGGCCAGATGGCCAACTGGGTAAATCATGTCAGTTCCTATAGAGGACAGATTAAAACTAAAGTGTTTTATAAAATTATTATTCCTAAATTGTATAACAAAAAAACATGATTTTGTCTAGAAATTTGGCTTTTGTCTCTCAGTATTTACAAGCATGAATAACTCCCAACTATTAAAAAATGGTCTAAAGATTTTTCAATGTCAGGCTAAAAGTTGGTGGCCGCTATCCAAGAAACCAGAAAAACCAGTTTAGAATGGGACCCCAACCTGGGGGACTCTCCCAAGGAGACCAATGAAACTGTGTCTTTGGGAAGTTCCTCCAGGGAAAAATAAGCCCCCTTCGTTTGTCTGTGTTCCCTCAACTCTTTTCAGCTTTCATGAACAGGACCACCTCAGAAAAAAGGTCAGAAAACTTAAAATTCTATATTTGTTAAATTCATAATTTTGATCCAACACACTTAGGTTAATATGTTTTTCTGATGACACTCTGCTTTATTCTAAGGCCAATTTACAAGGGTTAACTCTCAATCTAATAGGTTTTTTTAAAAAAATAAGCTATAAGGTTTTTGTCTGTTTGCTTTGTGTGGGTGCACGGGTGTACTGTCTGTCTATATGTACTGCCATGTCTACATATATTTGGTACAAAAAATTGACATATGAGCTTATAAATTAAAATTTTTAAAAAATGGATCCAAATACTTTTGGTTAACATGATCTAAAAGGTTCAATTTAAATTAAAAAAAAAATAGATAAAAGTACAAATGTCTTTAAAGTTACTAATGCCCAGTTTTGTTTCTAGATAGTTAAACAGCTGTTAAAAATGTTAATGTCTATAAAGTGTCTAATATCCATTGTCTCTAGGATTTTTATTCAACAACAACAACAAAAAAGATTACTAATACTATTCAGTGCATTTGTCTGATACCTTGTTTTTAAAAAAGATACGTAAATTACATCTAAACGTATATAAAATTAATCATAGACATGTTTGTTAGAGACATCTAATTGGTACAAAGTTAAAATGCTGACTGTTAAATATAATATCAAGTAATTTTAACTCCTTAAATTCCATAAAGTAAAACACTTAAACAATGTTGGTGTTTTCATAAATTGGTAAACAAAAAGGAAATTTGTAATCATTTTGTGTTATTATAAAAACAAGGTTACTCTAAATTACAAAGTCCCAACAGGTATAATTCTACATACAAGGAGTCAAGAGGTTTCAACTGTATTTCAATTAAAGTACTGTAAGTAACAAATATTTCATCTTATTAAAATAGAACAATTTATTTAAATTAAAAAATTTATAAGGGTTATTTCAAGATACAAACAAAAAAAGCGTCAATGGATTAAAAATTATTAAAAAGTTCTAAATATAAAAATATATTTAATAAAAAATGTTTCCAGGTAAAAAGTCTTTATGTGATAAAGTATAATTATAACACATCTAAGTAAACAACAAAAGGGTCTAATTAAGTAATATAAAGGTGTATAAATAAAAGACAAATATTAAAATATTTATATGTAACTAAGTTGGTTATATATGTAACACAAATAGTTAAAACTACTCAAGGTTGTTCCCTAAGGACAAATAATAATGAACTGATATATTTATATGTTAAATTGACAAAAACTTCTAAAAATATTAATTACATTATGTCTGTTAAGTTTTATCCCCTAGAACAAGTAATCTTGGAGAAACTAAGGTTTTTACATCTGTGGCTAAACAGCAACTGTTATTTTAAAGTATTGTCCTACATTACAAATCTATATTTTCCTTTAAAAGCTAACCTTGGTTAATATAAAAACATCAATAAAAGTGTGGTACATTACTCTTCTTTACAGATTAAATGTGTTCATATCTTTCAGGTAAACAAGTCTTTAAGGTAAAAGGTTTAAAGGAACATTTTATCAAGCTGGTATTCTCCAAACTAAAATTGTCTGTAATGGTAATTTAAACTTATAAAGATAATGGATTTTATTGGAAATTTATTTATATAATGTTTTGTAACCAAATCTTATGTTACCTTTTACACTAAATTTAAAAAGTAATGAGAGCCTAATCGACTTAAAGGTTAAACATTATAAAACATTTTGCCACTTTTCCACATAAAAAAATGTTGAGGGCTCTCAGCCTTTACTTAATTAATGTTTCAGATGTATGTCATATTGTGCTGCTAACATTCATACAGAGTCAAAAACAATATATGTAAGCTTTATAAAATGATATCTAAAAAGAGAGACAAAGATCAACTTTAAAACTAAAACACTTTACCTAAGATTTGTAAAAGGCCCTGCCTTACCTGAGATAAGGCTCTGCCTCCCACCTTACAACATGTCAAAATAACTTCAAAGTAGGCCAGATTTCAGTTAATTTAAAGTTATATTCAAAGATTAATTTATTAAAAAGATTACTGTGATCTCAAATAAAAAATACAATGTATAACTCAGCCAAGGTTCAAAATTATATACAAGCTAAATATGTTTTTACTATTGTTAATTTCACTTTGTAGTTTCATTATATCTTAAAAAAAAAATGTGACCACTACACTCAGAGCAACCAAGAGACCTTTACTGTGACAATGTCTGATTAACACAAAGAGAGAGAGAGAGAGAGAGAGAGAGAGAGAAGGAAAAAGAGAGAGGAAAAAAGTGAATGAGAGACAGGGAAAGTGAGAGAAAAAGGAGAGAGCAAGAGAGAAGGACCTGGCAAGAGAGAGGTTTTATAGCCAAAATCTGGATCTGCAAGCTGCCTTGTTGGTGTACAGTGATTGGATCATACAGTAGATGCTAAGGTGTCATCTTCTCCTTCAGGCAGATCTTCAGCATTACGTAAGTTAATAAATAAAATAAGGATATTGTGTTATGTAAAAATAAACCGGAAAGTTATAAAGATTAAAGTTAAAGCCCAGCATTCTTACTTTAAAACTGGTAAATCTGACTTGCTGGATGTTTAAGGCCAAATTTAAATATTAAGTTTAAAATAAAGGGGCCAAAAAAACCCAATATTTGGCTCTTGCCCTCTTTGTCAGCCTGAACCCAGGACAGGGGAAAAAGCTTTGCCACTCTGGGCCACATAACCTCCCGATAAGGGAGATTAATGAGACCCCTGGAGAACAGAAAGCCAATGAGTGTCCATGCTGCAAAACAGGAGGGTCATTTAAAAAGGAGACATGCCTGATGCTTCCAAGGGAAGCCATATGGTCAGCAAGACCTTGACCCATCCAAATGTAGATGACACTAACAGAGCTAAAATGCTACTCACATGTTCCCCAAGAATGTCCTCCAAGGAAACTCAGCTGACTCTTACCAATAGATAGGAACAAGGTCAGTTTGACCAGCTTGGTCTTAAACACCTACCAAAAACAGTTAAAACCAAAGCACAGCCATTCCTGGGCATTTAAAAAGAAACAACAGTTATTTTAATGTAACTTAAAATGTACCCTAGTGTTAGCATCCCCCAAATAAGTAAGACTGGAGGAAACACAGAAAAATTCTTAGGCAAAAATGCCTGATAACTATCAATAAAAAAACTGCCAGAAGTTTTTAGTCAGTTCAAGGCCTACAGATCTTCCTAACTTCCTACGCAGGTAGATGTAATCAATGTTTATTAATATAATTATCTAGCCTTAAGTAACAAAAGGATCTTTACTAAACACAGTGGTCATGCCAAAAAGGTATTTTTACAAAAATCAGATGACATTACCTAACATAACTAAATGTTGTGTCTACATTCCTGATAATTCTGACAATGTTAAAGATTTATGTTCCCTAAAAAAGTGCCTTATTAGGCTTTGTTAGGCCTTGTTATGGGGACATTTTCTCAGGTCTTCTGCCTCCTGGTAAACAAATATTAATTTCTGTCATTTTCATGATATTCATGGACAGGTTCCAGATGCTATTTGTATTAATCTTACTTCGGCACTCAGGTCTTTTTGTTTCTCTCATAGAAGTGCCCACCCCAGGTGAATTGACATCCTGTTCCTCCTGAGCCAGATTTTTACCATGGACTCCTTGACCCACTCAGTTTCTAAAAAGGGGACTCCAAACTGCTTGCCCACTGCACATCACCCCCTTTCAGCTGGAAGTAGCAAGAACGGTCATCGCCCTTTTCCCTTACAGCAGCTGGAGGTTCCTAATATTAGGGGAAAAATTACAGTCAACATAGATGTTCGCCAATGTCTAGCTCAGGAAGATGTACCTGGGAAACTGCTCCCAAGATCACCCTGGGTGATCTCCCAGAAAGAGACACTTGCTTCCACAACCCAACTTATAAGTGGGACAACTCCCCGTTCACCAAAAATTGTGCTCCCCGGGTCCCACTTCAAACTCCTTGCCTATATCTCCAAACTGTCAATAACTCTGAACTATGTAACCTACTATTTTGATGAAGTAAAGGGAAAAGAACACCTGGACTTATTAAAAGGCCAGGCCCCACTAATTTATCAACATAGACTGGCTGCCCCCGTTTTAGTTCCCCTCCTGGCTGGTTTGGGAATAGCTGGATCTACTGCTTTAGAAACTGCAGCTCTTATCACAGGATATATATCAAACAGATATAAATTTAAACTTCAGACAATTGGTTCCAAAAACCTATTCTCATGGTCCCCTTGGTTGACTACCATCATTTCAGCCATAGTTGGGCCCCTAGTCCTTCACCTGATTGGTATTACTGTAGGACCCTGCCTCTTACAAACCCTCTTAAACCATATACACAAAAGAATGTAGATGGGGTCAGACTTATGGTCTTGCGAGCCCAGTATAGTCCCTTAGACACAGAAGGATGAAACAAAAACTGAGGCCTAATGATGTGCAAGATTGACATCAAACCTACTAAAACCAGTGGGGAATGTGATAGCAGGAGCAAATGTGACTCCATTTTGTTTTATGACTTCATCCTGTAGAACAACCAGGCCAAGTAGAAGAGTCATGACTGGAGCAAGATGTTCTTTTCCTTTTACTTTAGAAACCTTTAAGAACACGGAACTACCTAATGGGGCATTGTTTCTGTAACTAGGGTAACGGGGCTCTGTTTCTGTAACTGGGGTGCCTGGGATCACTGTGATTGGTTAGGCTTCCCTCCGCTTGACTGCACTGTCCCGCTTCTGTAACCTGGCTGGCTTGCATTGGCTAGACCCCCCAACATCCCTTTTGCGGTTTTCAGGCTTATAAGGAGTGCCCTTGCAATTGTTCAGGGCTGATCAGGGGAACAGCTTTATGTTCTGGTCAGCCGCCACCGGTGTGCTTCAATAAAGGCTTGATACGATTATATGTGAGTGGTCTGGAAGTCAGTTTATGAAACCCTGGGACAAAGCTTTAACTATAACAGGCCACAGGGAAAGGCCTAGGGGACAGTCCGCCTGCCTCCACCTGGGGCAGGGAGGTGTGGCCCACACTCTGCAGGCAGAGGGCATCACATCTTTGGCCACAATCGCCAAGTTCAGAGGTCCCCAGCCACCCCAACTTCTGGCCACCTGGGGTTCCCATGACAGCCTCCTATTTGAGGATTTTCTGGAACAATTCGCAGAACTCAAGGAAGCACAGTAAAGTAAGACCCTGGCTCACGGCGGTCACAGCCTGATAAACCACAGATTGTGTGGTGCTGGTTGTCGCTGTGTTGGGATCAACCCAGGGCCTCGAGGACGGGTGCCCAGCTGAAAGTCTCACACTGAAACCCAGTGGGTCCACTGACCTGCCCGAGCCCCAGCTGAGCAACACAGCAGGCTTCCCTGCGACCGAGGGGCTGGGTCGCTGCCACCCAGCACTGAGAAAGGGGAGCGCCCCACCCCGTAGTCGAAATCCTTGGCCCAGGAAAAGATAAAGTTTCAAAATTCCAAGGACGGAGCTGGGAGCGTTGGTGCACACCTACGATCCCAGCAGCTCCGGAGGCTGAGGCAGGAGGATCACAATTTCAAAGCCAGCCTCAGCAACTTAGTGAAGCCCTAAGAAACTTAACAAGACCCTGTCTCAGAAATAAAGTGGGTGGGGCACTGGGGACGTGACTCAGTGGTTAAGCGCCCCTGGTTCAGTCCCCAGTACAAAATAAAAAAATTAAATTGAACTGTCCTGAGTGAGGGCCGGCTGTCCCTATGAAGGCAGGTTACAACTCAGCATGGCCATAGGGTGGAGCCAGGGAGTGCCTGGGTCTCCCTCCCCACACAGGGCGCATCACCACCCACCAGGGAGGTGCTGGAGCCCTGGCCAGAGCTTTCCTTCCTAGGGTGACTGAGCGATGTCACTGGCCAGTCTCTAGCCCCTCCCCAGGGTCTCAAAGCCCCACCCCTGGGACCTCAGCAGCCTACCTGGTCACCACGAGCGACCTCATAGCATGACCTATCTAAGCCCTGGGGGACACTCCAAGGACTCAGAGCCTGGGCCACAGGCCAGGCAGGTGTGTCATGCAGCACGGGGTCTGGCCCTGCAGCTGCCCACAGGGGGCTGCAGGGCAGCACTGAGTGCCCTCGAGAGGCGGCTGCGGGGGAGGTGCAGTTGAGGGCAGCAGGCGGGAGCAGCTCAGGACCCCGGGTCAGCCGAGGACCAGCAGGGCTGGAATGGGACACAGGAGAGGGAAGAAGGGGTCAGGGCCCCAGACAAGGAGGGCTAAGAGTGGACTGGGTCCTGTTGACAGCGGGGGTCAGGGAGGAGGTTGGGACAGATCTGCCGGGTCACTGGAAGGCCTCAGGCCATGGGGCAGGGTCCACTGGGTAGAGAGGGAGTGAGCACCTGATCTTGGCACCTGATATCTGGATCTGTGTCCCCAACGTTTGCCCTGAGCGTTTTCTCAAAAGGACCTCGGGGTCTTGGAGCTATGGGGTGCCCGTCCAACCCCACCTCTGATCCCTCCTCTGTGTCAGTGGACACCAAGATGCTTCCTCTTCTTGATTCTGGGTCTCCACTGAGCGAGAACTGGGCCTCTCTTTGCCTCTTACTTCTCTAGGACCCAAGCTCCTTGGAGATGAGAGGGTGATGGACGTGACTGCAGGGGACTCAGGAGCGGGGCTGGGGTCACTGTTCACTTGAGAAGCTCGCACGGAGGGTCCCTGATCCGAGGCCCAGGCTGGGTGCTGCAGTGTGCGTCCCTCCGACGGGTGCTGGGCGGGCTGCAGGTATTCTGAGCCCGTGCAGAGGCCTGCTGCTCTTGGGAGAGTCTGGCCGCGCCCTTCTTAACGACACACTCCTTGCAGCCGGGGCTGCTGCTCCTCAGAGTGACGGAGCACGGTCCCTCAGCTCCTCAGAGCTCCCAGCAACGCTCTGACAGGTGTCACTGCCCCCTCAGAGCACAGGCAGGTGTCTCTGCCAATCACCGTCGCCATTCTGGACATAGCCCAAGGGGGGCCAGACGGTCGGAGAGCCTGTCCCACCCCACAGGGCCCTGATCTGACTTACCTGCCACCTGCAGGATGCCATGTCTGGCCACATCGTAGAACGGGTGGCTTGTGCTCAGTGCAGGGTCCTGGCCAGCCATGGGCAACGCAGAGCCTTCCCCCAGCACCCAGCGCAGAGGTCCCCTCCCGGTCTCCGCAGCCCTGCAGTAGACAGCAAGCGTTGGAGGAGGCCAGTCGTGTTCTCGAATGAGAGGAGTGTAGGACCCTTCTGAGGTCCTTTTTCTTTTGGGGTACCAGGGATTGAACTCAGAGGCACCCGACCACTAAGACACATCCCCGGCCCTATTTTGTATTTTATTTAGAGACAGGGTCTGAGTTGCTTAGCGTCTTGCTCTTGCTGAGGCTGGCACTGAACTCGAGATCCTCCTGCCTCAGCCTCCTGAACTGCTGGGATCACAGGCGTGAGGCACCACACCTGGCCAGAAGTCCTTTTCTAAGACAGTCACCTGCCTCTGCTCTGTACCTACTCTGACACAAACCCACGACGTGCCCACCTGTGCCGGGCACCCATTGTGCACTCTAACTCAGCTGAGCACCCACCATGCTCACCCAGTGAGTAGCACCATGGAGGAGGAAAAATGAGACCCAAGATGAATTCTGTCCACACTGGCAGGAGTGGGAACTAAGGCGCAGAGAGCGACTTGCCCGAGGCCACACTGCCGTGGGTCGGGACCTAAGTTCCAGCTCTCTGACCCAGGTCCCAAGACGCTGCCTGCCTGGCAGCGGAGGAGGCTGGCGCGAAGCCCGGGAGGGCTGGAGTGAGGTAGCAAGGCAGGAGGGAGCTGCGGAGCCACGGCCCTGGGGGAAGGAGAAGGGGACTCGGGTTGCAAGGTGGGCGTAGGCTCCAGTCCCCGATGTGGCTGAGTCTTATCTGGAAACAGCGTCTTGGGGGCAGTTAGTGGGGACAGGTCACTGTAGATGCAGGGGACCCTAATGCAGTGGCTGGTGTCCATGAGGAGAGCCCGCAGAGGGCTTCCAGGTCTGGCGGAGGCAGAGACCGAGATGGAGCGGCCAGCCCTCCAGGGACGTCGGGAGCCACCAGGAGCTGTAAGTGGCAGGAAGGCCCCTCCTCGCAGTCTCGGGAGGAAGTGTGGTCCTGCCCACACCTGGATCGTGGACTCTGGCCCCCGGAATTGTGAAAGAGTAACTTCTACGTCACCAAGTTCATGGTCATTTGTCACAGCAGCCCTGGGAGCCTGGCGAGGGGCTGGGCTTTACCCAGGGAGCCCAGGGGCCTCCTGCCTGCTGCACAGGTCGAGGTTTTTTGAGCATGTGAGTGTATGACCTCCTGGAAGTGGGTCCCCAGGAGGACGTGTGCACTGCCCCTCCCCCTCCCCCAGCTGCTACAGGTCCAGCCTGGACACACCTTCCCAGCAGGAGGGACCCTGGGCCAGAACATCCTGTCCTGGCCTAAGGCTGCCACCACCAGGGCCTGGCAGGGGCGTCTGTCCACTCTCAGGGAGAACCCGCGGGGGTGGGGTGGGGACGCCCTTCCAGGGCCTGGCTGCGTTTTCGTTTCTCCCTAAAATGAAAACCGCATGGGGTGTCTGAACGCCAGCATCTGATCCTAACTTGTCTAATTAAACACAACGTAAGCTCTGAGTTCCCAGACTCAGCAACCCATGGCGGCACAAACACACGTGGACACGTGGGCTGGTTCACACTGCACCACCATGGCCACCAACGGTCCCCAAGGGACACCGACGCGGGAAAGGAGTCATGCCCACAGCTGCCCCACAGGGGGCACCACGCACGGTGTGCACATGAGCTGTGGCCACACGGCTCCACACGGTGGGGGGGCCTCGCAGTCACGTTGAACGTCAGACACGAAAGAGGGTGGACAACTCCATCCATGAAGGGTCAACACCGGGCTGGGGACCCATGGTGACAGGTGCGAGGTGGTGCTGATGGGTGGGCACCAGGGCTCGGGCTGGGCGCCTTCTGTTTCCAGGCTTGGTGCAGGCTGGTCCCCGCCTGGGTGAGGACCAGCTCCATGGGCAAGGCCTGGGGACGGGCCTGGCCCCAGGGGACATGCAGAGGACTCCTGCTGAGGGTAGGCTGAGAGGGTCCTGGATCAGGCAGGTCCTGGGCAGAGGACAGCTGCAGATTCCCCGGCCCTCCAGTGCCTTCAGGAGCAGAGGCAACCCAGAGGGGACCTGAAACCCAGCCTGCATGGTGCCGTGGGGCCAGCTGGCCGGGGACAGCAAGGTCCCCACCCCAAGGGTGGTCATGGGGCAGGAGATCAGCAATACTGTCCACAGCCAGAGGACAATGACTTCCTCCCCTGCCTCCAGCCTCCCATGCCCCTCCACAGAGATGGCCATCCTGTGACCTGACAGCAGATGCCACTGTCACTCGTCTCCCCAGTGCGCAGAGAGCAGCTCTGCTGTGTTTGCTCAGGACCCTGTGTGTAGGGATGAGGGGTCAATGGGGGGGCACACACAGGGGGCTGTGTTAGGGTCTGTAAACAAGTCAGGATGGCACCTGGCACTTTGCAGAGGGAGTGGTTTGTGAAGTAACACCAGCGAGCCATTAAGTGTGGAGATTCCTTATTGGTTGACTGCTGTATCTAGTTTATGTTAATTAAGATAAGCTGTGTGGAATGTATATATACCCCTCCTGTCCTACAGCCTCAGGATACCTAGTAAGAATAGTGTTAGGAGAATAAGATAAATGTATCCATAATAATGGACCTTCTTGCCAAAATACTCCTGTAGGAATATTTTTTGTTGGTAGTACAATAAATAATAAAAGCAAACTTATATCAATTCTATCCAAATGCATATTTTCCATATATGTTTCAATAATTTTTAATGCCTTTCTTGCTTTAGGCGTTAACATGTGGGGTGAATTTGGATCTGATGGACCTTTTAGGATATCAAATAAAGGTCCCAACTCTCCTGTTGGTATACCTAGATAAGGCCTTATCCAATTTATGTCTCCTAATAACTTTTGAAAGTCGTTAAGTGATTTGAGTTGATCTACTCGTATTTGAATTTTTGGTGGAGGACCATGGTTGAGGATAATAGAACTCCTAAATAACTAATTGGAAAATTTAATTGTACTTTATCTATTGCTATCTCTACATTATATTTTTTTAATAAGTTTATAAGTATGGCATAACATTTTAGCAATGTGTTTTTATCTTTGTGTGCTAACAATACATCATCCATATAGTGAAATATTTGTAGTTCAGGATTTTGATTTCTAAGTGGCTGGATTGCTTTGTTAACATAAATTTGACACATAGTTGGGCTGTTAGCCATCCCTTGAGGGAGTACTTTCCATTCATATCTCTGATCGGGACCTTCATGATTTAATGCAGGGATAGTAAATGCAAAACGTGGACTATCCTCAGGATGAATTGGAATTGAAAAAAAAAACAATCTTTAATATCTATAGCTAAAACATACCAGGTTTTTGGCAAAGCAGACAATTGGGGAATCCCCGATTGAGCAGGTCCCATAATAACCATCTCATTATTAATGGCTCTTAAATCTTGCAATGATCTCCATTTACCAGATTTCTTTTTAATGACAAAAATGGGAGTATTATGGGGAGATATGGAAGGTTGTATATGTCCCTCTGCTAATTGTTGTTTGACCAGGTCATGGGCTGCTTGTATCTTTTCTTTAGTCAGGGGCCACTGAGGAACCCATACTGATCTTTCTGATTTCCAAGTAATTTTTATTGTCTCAGTGACCCCTTCTGAAAACCCAATCCATGTCTATTTATTCCTTGATCTATTTGAATTGGTGCTGCTATACCTTGTTTTTGTTCTCCTAATCTTTTTTCTTTCCTGAAACCTTGTCTATCCCTAATAGTGGGCGCATTTGGATTGATGTTATTTGTTAATGTCAAACCTAATTGATCTAGGACATCTCGTCCCCATAAATTTATAGGAAGATGATCCAATACATATGGCTGTATAGTTCCTTCACATCCTTCAGGATCCTTCCAATCTAATACCATTGCATTTCTATGGGGATTAGTCGCCACTCCTAGGCCTCGAAGTGTTTGAGTGGCTTGTTGTAACGGCCAATGTTTTGGCCATTCTTGACGAGGGATGATGCTAAGGTCTGCACCTGTATCCAGTATCCCATTAAGTTCATGTCCTTGAATATTTAATTTTAGCATTGGGCGAGAATGTAAATTTAAAGACAGCATAGCCCAATCTACACCTGTGGAGCCTGATCCCATGGAACCTCTTTCCATAGTATGACTGGAAAATTTATCATGTAGGCTGGGTATTATTAGTAACTGTGCTATTCTATCTCCTGGTGAAATTACTGATATACCCTTTGGAGAACTGGCTATAATTTTTATTTCACCTTCATAATTGGGATCAATTACCCCAGGACTTATCATAAGTCCTTTTAGAGTAGAAGAACTGCGTCCTAACAATAAGCCTACTGTTCCTTGGGGAAGAGGCCCTTTTACCCCTGTGGGAATGATCTGAACTTCCATCTCTGGAGTTAGTACTGCTCTGGTGGAGGTGCAGATGTCCAACCCTGTGCTCCCTCTGGTTCTTCTGATGAGAGATCTGATGGATAATGTGTCCTGGGCACTACCCTGATGGTGTTGCTGGGTTCCTCCATTGTGTTGCTGGGTTCCTCCAGTGCCCCGTATATTTGTGGTCGTGGGCCCCGGAGCATTGGGCCCCCCTGTCTGTTTTTTGGCAAGGGAGCCCGATGCCTTTCTCCACGATATTGTGGGTAAACACCTGGTCCTTGTCCGTTTTTTGATAACAGAGTACCCTCTATGGTGGTTTGAGAACGGCATTCATTAGCCCAATCTCTCCCTCTATGGCATCATGGGCAAATACCCGGTATTCTACTCCTTTGATACCTAGCTTTGTTAAACCCTCCTCCTATGGGGCAATTCCTTTTAAAATGTCCTGTTTGATCACAATTGTAGCATGTTTTTGGCCTAGCATCTAAAGCCTGTTGTACTGCAGCTGCCAAGAGTTGCCCTTGTTCATTAATGTCTCTACATAATTTAATATATGTGTTTAAATCGTCATGTTTCCATGGTCTAATGGCCTCCTTGCACCAACGATTTGCTTGGTCATAAGCCAATTGTTTTATTAATGGCATTGCTTGTTCTGTATCCCCAAAAACTCTGGTAGCTGTTTGAATAAG